ACTGGGTCAGGAGAGCCTGGGGAGCAGGAGGCAGCTGTCAGTAAGAGCCGGGACGCTCTTCCCCACTCCTCCCATTGCTGCAGGTTCCCCCAGCCGCTCCTCTCCCCTCCCCTCCCCTCCCGCCCCATGAGAGGTGTGTGGAGGGAACAGCAGCTGCTGGGGGAACCTGCAGCAATGGGAGGTGTTGGGAAGAGTGTCCCTGGTCTTACTGACAGCTGCCTCCTGCTCCCCAGGCTCTCCTGACCCACATGAAGGTGGAGTGCAAGTGCCATGGTGTGTCAGGCACCTGTGAGGTGTGCACGTGCTGGAAGGTCATGCCTTCCTTCCGTGAGGTGGGCAACGTCCTCAAGGAAAAGTTTGAGGGGGCAAGAGAGGTTTACCCAAAGTGGGTCAGTTCCTGCAAGCTCCTGGTGTCCAAGAGCTCTCGCTTCAAGCCCTACATGGCTCATGACCTGGTCTATCTGTTGGCCAGCCCAGACTTCTGTGATTGGGACCCCCGACACGGGGTCTTCAGCACCTCTGGCCACCAGTGCAACCAAACATTCCTGGCCATGGATGGCTGTGAGCTCCTGTGCTGTGGCAGGGGCTTCCACATGGCCCAGGCGGAGATGGTGGAGCTCTGCAGCTGCAAGTTCTGCTGGTGCTGCTCCATCAAGTGGAAGCAGTGCCGGCACCTCATGGAGGTGCACCGATGCCGCTGAGGGGGAGCGTGCCAGGGCAGCAAGAGGCTGCCAAGGGACTGTAAGGTCACAGGGAGAGGCCAGCCTGGGGAGATGTCCAAAGGTGTCACCAGCTCCTGAGTGCTCCCCACACAGCACCCTCCCGCCAGCCTCAGTGGGCTTTCTGTGGTTTGAATTAATTTTCTGGATGGAGGGTTGGAGGACACAAGCCAAATAAACCCCTAAACTTTAGAAATAAACCAGCTGCAATGGAAAGCAAAGTGCACACAAAAGCTTCTTCCTCACATGCTGCATTTGGGACCTGGAGGGTCCCTGGCTTTGCTCCCTCCTGTGTCCTGGGAGGGGACAAGGCCATGCTGAGTCCTTCTGCTCAGGGGACACATGGGCTGCATAAGAAAGGAACGTGACAGTGTGGAGCTGGATGGCGTGAGGATCCATCTTGGGCAAAAGAGGGGTCACTGGGGAGTGTAATAGAGCAGTGGCATTGGAAAGAAGGGAACAAATGAATTTTGTATAATCAAACAGGCTCTTTACAAAATAAGATTCATCCTTTGGAGGACTGGTACAGGGAGCTAGGTACAGGGGAAGGATGCAAGAAATGCCTTTTCCAGTGCTCAGCTGTTCCTTTGGCTGGAGAAAATGTTTCCAAGAGGAGTTCCAGCAGCTGCCACAGTGAGGCTCCCCTCATTCAGTCTGACCTCAGTGCCGGAGAAGGTTATGGAAGAGATTACCTTGAGTGCAATCATAGGGCACGTGCAGGACAGTGGGGGGATCAGGCCCAGGCAACATGGATTTACAAAAGACAGGTCCTGCTTGACCAATCTGATGTCCTTTTATAACCAGGTGACCCTCGCAGTAGATGAGGAAAAGGCTGTGGATGTTGTCTACCCGGACTTCAGTAAAGCTTTTGACACAGTTTCCCACAGCATTCTTCTGGAGGAGCTGGCAGCCCATGGTTTGGGCAGGTGCACTCTTTCCTGGGTTAAAAACTGGCTGGATGGCTGAGCCCAGAGAGTGGTGGTGAATGGAGTTACATCCAGCTGGCAGCCAGTCACTACTGGGGTTCCCCAGGGATCAGTGTTGGTGCCAGTCCTGTTTAGTATCTTTATCAATGATTTGGACGAGGGCACCCTCAATAAGTTCACTCCACCAAGTTAGGTGGGAGTGTTGATCTGCTGGAGGGTAGGAAGGTTCCGCAGAGGGATCTGGACAGGCTGGACTGATGGACCGAGGCCAATTCTAAGAGGTTCAACAAGGCCAAGTGCCAGGTCCTGCACTTGGGTACACAACAACCCCACGCAGTGCTACAGGCTTGGGAAAGAGTGACTGGAAAGCTGTCCAGCAGAAAAGGACCTGGGTGTGCTGATCAACAGCGGCTGAACATGAGTCAGAAGTGTGCCCAGGTGGCCCAGGAGGCCAGTGGCATCCTGGCTTTTATCAGAAGTTGCATGGCCAGCAGAACCATGGAAGTGATTGTCCCTCTGTACTCAGCACTGGAGGGGCCACACCTTGAGTGCTGTGTCCAGTTCTGGGCCCCTCACTACAAGAAAGACATTGAGGTGCTGGAGCATGTCCAGAGAAGGGCAACGAAGCCTGTGAAGGATCTGGAGTGGCTGAGGGAGCTGCAGTTGTTTAGCTTGGAGAAAAGGAGGCACTGAGGAAACCTTATTGCTCTCTACAGCTACTTGAAAGAGGCTGTAGCGAAGTGGGGATTGGTCTCTTCTCCCAGGCAACAAGTGATAGGACAAGAGGAAATGGCCTCAGGTTGCACCAGGGAAGGTTCAGATTGGACACTGGGAAAAATTTCTGCACTGAAAGGGTGGTCAGGCATTGGAATAGGCTCCCCAGGGAAGTGGTGGAATCACTATCCTTGGAAGAGTTCAAAAAACAAGTAGACATGGCACTACACAATGTGGTTTAGTGGGCATGGTGGTACTTGGTCAAAGGTTGAACTTGGTTATCTTGAAGGTCTTTTCAAACTTTAATGATTTTCTGACTGCTGCTTGGCAAGGCTGACAAACCTCTCATGCCACTGCTGCACCTCCTCTTCTCCCTCCTTCGCACTCAGCACCCGGTAGGTCTCGTTACTCTTGCATTCAACACGAGTCACCTGCAAGGAGAACCTGAGTTCATAGGAAGGGTGCCACCGCCTATCCTTTCCACAAGTAAAGAGGATCTCCATGGTGGACAGCATTTGGAGGCTGGCATGATGGGGGCACCAGAGGGGAAGGGGGAGAATCAGCTGGAAAGCTGTTCAGCTAATAGCTGAGCTGTGTGTTTCCTAAGATATAGGCTAGTCCTCTGTCCTGCTATGGTGATTCTGGTTTTTGTTACCACCCAGGAAGCAACCAGTAGATGGGAGAGATCCTCCCCTACAGGGATACCCTGATGGGTAGGAGGCTTCCCACAGCTTCTTTTTCTCCACATTATATCTGCCTCTGCTTTCATCCCTTACAGTGTCTGTGCAAATCCCACCCACCTATGACACTCCAGTTACGTTTGGGTCACTATTTATCACCCCCCCAAACACATCCAATTCTGTCCTCCTGGAAGGACAAGCAGGGTACCAGGGAGTTCCACAGGGACTCAAGGCTGGCTGTGGAGGGCTCAACCATGGAGGAGCAGGCTGTGCAAAAGACAGTGCAGCTGCTTCTCACCCTCTGGTTGTGGATGCTCTTCTGGAGGCACTGGTGGCTCTTGAACATGCAGTAGCTGGGGTGCTGAACTCCGCTGGAGTCACAGATCTGGGGAGATGGGAATGAAGGTCAGAGAAAGAAGAAGAGAAGGAGAGATGGGAACATCTACTGATGGTCACCCACCTTGTTCGGTGTACCTCCGTCTTGGAAGGCAGCGTACTCTGCCTCCAGCCAGAGGATCACACTTGGGTCCTGGCAGCCATGGGTGGCCATCCGGCTGCACCAGTACTCTGACCTCAGCCCTCTGAAAAAATCCATGTCATATTCCTCCAGAGTCTCTGAGAATCTGGTCTGCAAAGGAGCGGGATAAAGTGAGACATGCTTCTTCCTTCCCTTCCCCACCTCCCAGTCCAGGCCCCTCCTCAGAGACCAGCAGGGCGTACAGCTCACTTGGTACCTGCTTTTCTGTATCCTGGTGCTGGGCTGAGATCTGAGGGTTGATGTAGGTGAAGAAGTCACCTGTGTCGCAGTGAACACGGCTCAGGGTTTTGATGTTCTGACACTGCTCCATCTTCAGCGAGCAGAAAGCACAGTCAGGGCACAGGTCCATGTGATGCCGCCCAAGGTTGTCACACACCTAGAGTGGATGGTCGGGGGGGAAAAGGAGACTAAGAAGCTCCAAAAAGAGGAGACTGAGGAGCTCCCATATCCCTGGCTTGGAGCTTGCCTCCCTGGTCACCCAGGTCAACTTCTCTTGGGAGGTGACACCTGAAATGACAGGGAGCCCTGCACACCATGGGGGTCAAAGGTGGACGTCAAGGTCTTTACCGAGTCTCCGAACCCAAACACTCTTTTTTCCATCTCCTTCCAGGCCATGGCAAGCATTGACGAGAGACAGTTTCCCTCCAGCACTGCATAGCACAGGACCAGCACTGCCTCGTCATTCTGCAGGGCTAAAAGGCTGACAGAGAAAGGGAAGGAAGAAGTCAATACACCTTCAATTAGAAACTGAAAGAGCAGAAAACAACCCCAAAACATAGCAAAAAAACCCTTCCCAAAGAAACTTTGGACTCCTGGCTAAACTGCATAGAGGAATGGGGGTATCTGCAGAGTTTGTAGATGCCTATGTAACACAGAGGCTACAGGGTGGGGGGGGGGGGGGGGGGCTTTTGGGGGCATGGGGGGGGGGGGGGGGGAAGGTTGATGGCTGGGAGGGGGGGGGGTGTGTGCATTTGGGAGCATGTGAGAGGGACTGGACGAAGCTTCATAGCTTGAAGAACTTTCCCAGGGCTCCTGCAGCAGGTGCTGCCTAGTTTTGTCCATCTGAGGGCAATGAGGAGATGTTTGTTCAGAGGTCTGCTGAGTGTTGACTGTGGGACACCCCCATTTGGGTCTGGAGGGTGTCACTCATTAAGCCTCCCTCCTGCTTGAGCCAATGTATTTGATAGAAAGGGGAAAAATTTTTTGACCATTAATTAACTGTTCATCCAAACTGACATGGGTAGCTAACAGTAAAAAATTTAAGGAGAATGGGATAAGACCAATAAGAATATTAGGGACAGTGGAATTTGTAGGCATGGTACAGAACTGTTACTAGACACGGATGGTTGGCTTCAATTGTCAACAATGATACAGAAGAGGTAAAAATGCTCAATTAGATATTTGCCTCTTGTTTCTGGAAACAAAACCAGTGATAAATAAACAAACTGATCTGACAAAAAATAAGAGGAGCAGCAACTGCCTATGTTAAAATGCACTTAAAATCCATGCACGGGCTAACCTGTATGGACAAATTTTCCTGAGAGTATTTGAAACTTCTTGGAGACCTTCAGATTAGCATTAAAAAAATAAAAAAAAGGCGGAGAACCTCAAGGAAGGTCATGAAGATGAGATTTCCTAAGGCCTGGAAAACTTTCACCTAGAGGAAGAGGCTAAAAAAGCTTCACTTAGCTGAGTGAAGACACTAGTGGGTGGCCACTCAGCCAGTCAGCACTTTTTCCAAGGAAGGCACCAGCTGGAAAGTTGTCCTTGTCAACAGATGGAAGAGTAATGACTTTTGGTGACTGGAATTTGGGGCGAGATCCATTCAAACCAGAAATTAGCTGCATGTTCCTTACACAAAGGGTATTTAGCTAGGGAGCAGCTGATGGGGTGGTTTCTTCACAGTTCAGAGACTTCAAAAAGATATCCCAAACTTCTCTTAGGAGAAGGGTCTGTAGCTCAGACACATGATACTGGTTTTTTTCTCCAGGGCTCACCAGACATGGTTTAATGTCTTGTGCTGAGCAGGAAGGCCAAGGTGCATGATCAGAGCAATTGCTAGGCCTGAAGGTTAAAATAGATCACCTTCCTGGAAATCGGAGTTGTGCCATCAGTCTGAGGTTA